CACAACCACCAACTCCACCTTCATCACCACCACCACCTCCACTCCATCACTACCACTACCACCACATGATTAGTACATAACACTTTTAACATCATGTCTATTTTAGTCATTATTCACAGTTACAGCAATTTTATATTAAAATTTACCAAACGTTTTTTACACTGCTTTTTGTACTAACAGCACTTTAAAAATATTGTTTACCAAACATGGAGCTGCTTTACTTTACAGCTAATTATTTTCAAAGCACAGCAGAAGCAACTTTTTTTAAAAGTGACAGCAATCCCAAACTGGGCCTAAATCCATTCATTGATGTTATGGAAGTGAAAATTTCGAGTCAATCATTAGAACACAACACAAATATATATCCATAATTTTTTTATTTTTTTATTGTTGAAATAAAGGCAATTTTGCATTCATAATTTAATCACAAAGGTTGTCAGCCACAAGAGTACAAATACACATAAGGCTCGTTTGGGATTGTGTCTCTAGGAAGTACTTCTGCTCATAAGCGCTTCTAATAAAAGCGCTTTTAGTATAAAAATATTGAATTTCCATCAAAATAAAAATAAAAATCCAAGTGCTTCATGAAAAAACATATAGCATGTGCTTCTCCAAAAAGCGCTTCTATGACCTAGAATAGCTTCAACAAATACACATAATCATAAAGGGCTATTACAAATATGGAAGCACAGTAACCACAAATGGTTAGTCCAAATATGGCGCCAAAGAAATTCCGAAATAAAAGCTACTAGCCTAGAAAACCAGGTAAATACCTCCACGCCACCAAACTAAATCTACAACCCTTAAACTCTCACAAGTAGAGACTAGACTACAAACAAGCACCAAACTCACAAAGAGTTGATGCAATTATTACAACTCAAGCAAGTAAATAAACCGCTCAGTCACTTTGTCTATCTCCAAATCACAAGTTGAAACGAACCACAGAGATCTGAAGTAGATCTAAAATAGGGGCTCCAAATCTGTAAAAAGAAGACAAACAAAACAACCAAGTGAAGAACAAACTAGCCAAAATGGCAAAACAACAACAAACCATAGGGGAAAGCAAGGGAATGGGAGGAGTAGAGAGAGGGGAAGGGTGGAGAGAGAAGGAGAAGGGGAGGGAAGCTACCAACCCCGCAAGGGGGTTGGCGGTTGAGGATGCTTAGGGTTTCTCTTGCTAGGGTTTTCTCTTGCTCAAGGGTTTTCTATTACCGTTTTTCTTCTGCTTTCAGTGCCTGATGACTAAGTTTGAAACATTCCAAATTTTATTGAACTAAGAAGCTGTTAATCTTTACATAAAGCAGTATAATGATTCTTACAAATTTACAAAGTAGCTGGACCAATTTCTTATCAACTTAAAATTGAAACCGATCCAGAATTCCACTATAAACAATTAGGAATTGAATGGAATATAAAATTTATAAGCCATTAATTCACCAAACTTCAATCTTATCAAACCAAGGTTTAAACGAGATGAAATACAAACACAGAGCTGCAATAATAGTTTATCTCCAGAAACTTTGCAGAGCCTCATTAAGAAAATAGGGCTGAAGTATCCCAGCAGCATAGTGTAATTCATCAAATCTGCATTATAAATGTATATATGTACGTTTAGAAATCAAGCCAAAAAAGTTATAAGGAGAAAAGCTGTACTGGATTGCAGCGAAAGGGGAGCTCAGTGAACGAAAACTTCAACTTAAATCCCAATTCAACAATATGCAAGTACTGTACGTAGTTAGATATAAGGATCGTTTTATATCATATACAACATATAATTAGGCTGATCAGAAGATTACATATATTTTTCTGGCATCGATCTGGTTGATACGTGTCAGATGGTACCCGGAGTTCCCCCAAACACTTCAGTAGGATGAATTAGGGTACATATGTACTACCCTTGATAATTTCCCCAATGAAGTGATCAAGGGAACTCCAGGGAACAACTGACAATCTCTTCTGATTTTTTTCTCTTGTTGTGGTCTTGTGTAGGGCAGTTACCTACAATATTTATAGTAGCTAGCTATGTTACTGCTCATTCATAATATCTGAATTAAGAAGGCCTTGCTAGCCCTTCTCGTATGTACTACGTACAACGTAGGAGAACCATTAGATTAGACACATGATATCCTAGGGTTGCCCAATTACCTAAATTGATGATGAACCTGGTCAGAATTGTGGGGAACATGAGAGGATGGGAATATTGTTGAAGTGAGTGGTCACAAGTTCTCCCCATGGCCACAGCTTTTATATTTTTAGCACGCATCCTCTTCAATCACTTTCATTCCCATATTTAAGATCTTACATTTTCAAAACAAAATCTCCAATACACGTATGCTTGCATTGGAGCCCTAAGGCACATTGTACTTAGCTAGTTAGCTTAAAGACAACTCTAAAGGGAAGTTAGTGAACAAACATCTTAGCTTAATTGTGTGTTGTGCTTATCAGATTAAGTCAAGATTCTATGGATGAAGAGTTGAACTAATCGGCGCGAGCCAGGTGGTTATCTTGTTGATGCTATTGCTCAACTTGGAGAAACTTTCTAGACGTGTGGCGAATTTTCAAGCCTAACACGTGGACAACACATATTGGGTGACGTGGAGCACATGTGGCCGTTGGGCTTTTACACGTGGGCTAACCTGGCTCTGATACCATGAAGAAAGTTGAGGTTCCACTCCAAAACCAATTGGCAATAGGGGGAGTAGCCCAACTCTTTATAAGCCCTTGCTAGGTTTCTCAACTTTCCAATATGGGACTTTATACCTTCACATTCTCACACTTATGTGTGATGATCACATGCGCTTAGCATATATGTACAAGATTTTGGTAGAGATATCTGTGAAAAGGAAAGGCTGGACAAGTAGATCGACACAGCTAGCTAAGCTATTTCTATCTATCAAAAAAGGCAGAATGGCTTATGTGGCCTCTCACCATAACGGCCTCAAGATTCTTTCCTAAATTACTTACCTTCAATTCAATCTAACCCACACTTGAGTCTAGGTTCACTGCCGAGTCCCGACCTAGTTCTAGCTAGTTCTGTTGTGTCGTCCTCTCTAGTCTCTGCTTAAACATACTTCAGAGCCAAACATATCATGTGGTGACCAAACGCAAAGTAAGCTAGATGCATGTGCACTACTATAAATAGATTACTAGCATTCATATCTGGTTTCATAAGTTCCCAAGCAATCAAAACTAGCTAGTCGTAAGATAATAGTACATCTGGAATCAGGTGTCCCCTAGAGTTCCCCTGAACACTTCACTAGGAAGTCTAACTCCCTTAATTAAACTAATTAAGGGTTAAGTTATACGTACGGTCTTTACTGAAGTGTTTGGAGGAACTCCGAGTGTCATTTGATGATATCTCAAGACTCCAAGAACTACAGGAGAAGCAGCCTAGCAGGTTGGTTATTACCACATGCAGGACGTATATAATTGACTTTGGTGCATGGGGGTTTGAGTTGATTATAATTAGCTAGCCTTCTTGCATATTCAGATCCAGCCAATTAACACACTTTATTTCTCTTATTTGAAAACAAGATTTTCATTTCCACAGCACCCCTTCCCACACATGCAGTTTTCCATCATTGATCTTCTAATTAGTAGCCCAATAATGAAATGAAGCATGCATATACTTTTTGTTTTCTTGTGTTCACAGGACGCCTGAGAAATA